GCTGACTCTGTAAACCGCTTAGAGAGGGCTGAAAGCCCTATGAAGCGGTATATAAGTCTAACTGCTATTGCTATTATCTCAGGTAATTCTCAATCAAATACAATTAGTATTGATTTTGAAAAAGTGATTTATTTCACATTTACTGACAGCATCCACATCACTCATTACCTTTAAACTCAGTGTCTTTTGTAGATCATCAGATCAGATGGGAAGGTTTGAGTGACTTTGCTGAAATTTTAAATGAAAGCAAAATACTTTTTAAAAAATTTCTTATGCTATATTTATATTTTGCCACATATTATCCATGTGAGGATAGTGACTTTTAAGGTAGGTTTACAGGATATATTAAAACCTCTCTTAGTTGTTCTCAGTCCACGCTGAGCTCAGTTGTGTCCAGATTATTGGGGTGAAAGCTTTCACTCATCTCAGCTTTTGAGTCTTGAAAATGCAGCCCACACAACAAAGGCAACCAGCCTCAGGCTCTAAAGGGTTATTGATGTGGTAAAGCAAGCAAATGGCTGGTCTATATCTATAACTGCTCACATAGGATGAACATTGTAGCACTATGAGCTACAATGCATTTCTTAAACTTGGCAACTAAGACATGTGGACTTCAACTCCAAGTATTTCTCAGCCAGCAGTTTTAGGAGTTGAAGTCCATACAGTATGTCTTAAAGTTGCCAAGTTGGTTGTAGAGTGCTGGGCCCCATTTCTGTCTTTTCAGGCAACAAGCGCTAGGGTCAGTTAAACATTGGTGGTAATGACATATTATGAACTCGTGCTCTTCCCAAGATGTCAACTGTACCCTGTTTCTCATCCCAGCTCAGGGGACTTTGCGTTCAGTGATTGCCACCATTGGCAAAGGATTTTCTGAAGCTGCCTTCACTATAGTCTTCCTGTATTCTTCAGAACTGTATCCCACCGTTCTTAGGTAAGAAAGAGATGCTTTCGAGAGGAATAATTGTTTGCATTGTCAAATGATGGATCAAGAATAACTTGGTCTGACTGGAAAGAGCTACTGCTACCCTGTTTCCTGAAAATAAGACCTCCATGGATAATAAGCCCACTTGGGCTTTTGAGTGCATGCACTAAAATAAGCCCTCCCAAAAATAAGGCCTCCTCAAAAATATTGCAGCACAGCAGCAGCCATGAGGTGACCATGCTCTCCACCTCCTGCACCTCAAAAATAATAAGACCTCCCAAAAAATAAAGCCAAGTGCTTATTTCAGAGGCCAAAAGAAAATAAGACCCAGTCTTATTTTCAGGGAAACGCTGAAAATTTCCTACAATCCTAGATCCTGGTGTGTGCATCCGCTCCCTTCAATACTTTTTTAAAAATTGCTTTTCCTCATTTAAGATCATGCAAGGCCATTTAGGGTCTTAAACTGAAGGGCTGAATAATCACCTAATCAATTAAAAAAAACCTTTCTTTCACAACTATTATTTTTAATTGAAACAGAAATCGCTTAATGATTGAATTCAATTGTTTTTACTTAATCGTGGCATAAAAATGCTTCAGTGAGTAACTGTGTATGCCTTTGGATTGAGTACATTATCAAATCTCTTAATATAAGGATGTGTTTACGTTCTTCTCATTAGCTTGCTCCTCTTATAATGTGTACTGTGTTCTTAATAGACAAAAAAGAAGGATGCAGATGTGAACTTAAAGCCAGCCTGTCATGTGTGTCCCTTGAATTCAGCTTTCAACCTCTTTTTGATTGCTCTTTGCTTTTGCTTCTAGACAGAGTGGACAAGGATACTGCTCCTTCATGGCACGTCTAGGGGCATGTGTGGCTCCGCTTGTCTTCCTGTTGGATAGCATATGGAAGCCTCTGCCCCAAACGGCCTCTTTTGCCGTGGCAGTGCTGTGTGGTTCATCAGCCTTCTTTCTCCCGGAGACCCGAGGCATCCGCCTGCCAGAAACGATAGATGACATTGAAAAACAAAGGTGTGAATGGGATTCCCCAAAAATTAGGAGACTGTATGGCTTGCTAAAACTTTCACATTTTTATAGCAGAGCTTAGTTTTTTCCCATCAGTTTATGGATTTTTCTTTTTTTTAAAAGCTTATTTGAAGAGTCATAAGCATATTTACATAAAATGTATTTTACGCACAGAAACAGAGGTGGGTTCCTCCCGGTTTGGACCGGTTCGGACAAATAGGCAGTAACACGGCCGGACATACACCCGAATTGGTTCTATTGATGCTGCATACACTCTTATTGGTGGGAAAACAAAAGCTATTCACAGCCAGAATGGTCCATTTCTAAAACTAGGGGTTTGCCTAACGTTTTGGAAAACTCTCTGTGGTTACGGGTTAAGGAAGTTAAAGTCTATTAAACTTAAACATAAAGGTTAGCATTGGAGATGGTAGGAATCAGATATTTTAGTGAAGTTATAAATTTATATTACTTTCCATTTGTCCATCTAAGAGGACCTAATATTAATAATCCTAACAAATATTACTATCAGAAAGAAAATCCTGAGCATTATTTACTGGCACCCAATTCCAAAGTTTTGTAGTAGTTTACTGGACTAAACTATATAACTATATGAGTAGTTCCTGATAAAGTATAAGAATGTGTTGGGTGTTTATATAGATGCCCATAATGCACCATCTGGCTGTAGGGTCATAGGTATCTGAAATACACCAACTTATTTATTTTGGGATACTCCTTATGGGATAAACTTTCTGGGACTCTGCCTTTGCTTTTTTCTTTCAATCATTTTTTTTTCAAACAGCATCAATCTTCCCCCTTCGCTTCTTTAATTATAGTTCAAAAGGGAAGAAACACCTGCATGGAGATGCACCTGAAGTTGCACCTCTCCAATTATCACACAATTGACCTGCTGAGTGGTTAGGTAAGTGAAGCTGCAAAAAGAGGCAAAGTAGCAACATTAGTTTGAAGGTCCTAATTTTTACACTACAATAAGCTGAATAGTTGAGCTTTTTTTTGTATGATTCCTTAGCAGGCAAGCAAAGGTTTGGTGCAGTGGTGCAATTCAAATCATTTAACAACTGGTTCACCCAGGGTCAGGTTGTCTGTCGTGGGAGGCCTGGTCCATCCCTGTCTTCCATTCCGCCACATGTGGAATGAGCTTCCCATGAAACTGGTTGTTAAATCTCCCCCCCCCAATCATAGTGGATCCTGGGCGCTGCGCTACAATGGAGAAATGGGCAACGGAGTGGCTGGCACAAGGGAAGGAGAAGGGAAAGCGGCCTTCTACTTCCCTTGCACTGGCCGCTCCATTGCCTATTTCTCCATTGCAGCACAGCGCAGTGCAGCCCCCAGGATCTACCTTGATAGTGGGGGTGCATGGGTAATTTAACAACTGGTTAATTTTACAACCTGTTAATTTAACAACTGGTGTGAACCAGCTGAATCCCACCACTGATTTGGTGGATCTTGAATCTCCAGATCAGATGCTTTACTGTCATAAATCTCTTCCAACTGGAATTCTCCAGGAGCGATGGGAACTTAGCAATATCCAGTCCACACTTCAACAAGAAGACCAGGGCCTTTGGGAATGATGGTCATAAAAATAAATAACTAATGAATATAACAAATTAATACATAAATAATAAATAAAAACAAAGTATCCAATAAAGTTATGTAGGATGTTCCCTTATTATTCATCCATACCATACAGGTAGTCAGTCAGACCTAACATCCTCCATTTTGTTGCACAAAATGCCTTTTAAAACCAAAACAGAATCTATTTCCTACAAAAAGCTGGTTTAAAAAAATTAATTTCAACATTTTATTGTAAAAGATTCAATATTTCAATTTTATCTGGATCCCGAGTCCATTTACTGTATAACTTTCTAAGATCAAAATCTTAATCTGCATTTTCCTGTTTATTTCAGATTCTTTACATTCTTAAGCTTATGATTAAAATTTTCTTCCATTGGGGATTAAAGGCAGATTCACCCAGAATTTTCCAACTTGTCATTCCAAAGGTCTCTAATAACATAAAAGTAGTTAATGAGCAATTTCCAAAAGTGATCCAAAAGAAAATGAGATTTGTTAACTTAGTGTCCCTTTAGTGTTGCCAGCTAGATACAATAATTCAATAGCAGAGTTGGAAAGGACCTTGGAGGTCTTCTAGTCCAACCCCCTGCCTAGGCAGG